ACCCAGTGCTCTCTCATCTTCAATTCTGCACGTTCACCCATCACCCGGATTGGAATGACAAGAGTCCATTACTGAAACCAAATGTTCTTTTCCTTGTTTGGAGATAAGCAGGGACAAGTTGTGAATATTCAAATTCAGGTTTTGTTCTCTATCACATCAAAGATAATGGTTGAGTGGAAAAAATATCATTTAAAGTGAGGTGTCCTTCTACTTGGGCTAGAATCGGTATTATCCTATTAAGTAGTTGTATAGTATAATATTTTAGATATTTGATTTTTTTGTTTCATAGATTTATTTTATAATTTTTAAAAATATGTTTTTATTTATTTCAGAGGAGGAAGAGAGAGGGAGAGAAAGATGGATGAGGAGAAACATCAATCTACTCCTCCTGCATGCCCCCTAGTGGGAATTGAGCCCGCAACCCGGGCATATGCCTTGACTGGGAATCAAACCTGGGACCTCCTAGTACATGCAAGTCGCTCAACCAACTGAGCCACATTGGCCAGGCCAAATGGATGGCTCTTAAGCCCATATTATATGTTATATTTCCAGTTGCTTGCCATGCTTTCGTATGTGCAGAGAGTAGTAGTTAAAATTACTATTGTTACTGGTGCTCGGATCCGGCCCACGGGCCATAGTTTGCCCACGGCCGTCTTAGTGCATGCAAGTCGCTCAACCAACTGAGCCACATTCGCCCATATTATATGTTATATTTCCAGTTGCTTGCCATGCTTTCATATGTGCAGAGAGTAGTAGCTAAAATTACTATTGTTACTGGTGCTGTATAATCTGTAGGTTCTCAGTGCCACCGGACAGTCCTTTTGTGTGTTCCTGGTGGCTCTTTATTACGTTGCCCCTAGTGAGTCAGGTTCTTCCAGGTGTTCTCTCTTGGTAAATGGTGCCACCCTCCCCTCAGTGCCCGGCCAGGGTCCTCGGCGTCATTCCTGCCACTTCCCTCCCCTCCCCTGCATTGTCTGGGTGCCACACTCCAGGTGACCTTCCCACCATCGCTGGAATTCCTTCTCTCTCTGCCACTGCCCCCGTCCTGGCCCAGACTTCTCACATCTTCCCTGGTTGTGCAGCGGTCTCAGGACTCGCCTTCCCACGCCACTCGTGTCTCCTCATCTGTTCTGCATGCGGCTTTGCTTCAAACCTAGGGGGATGGAAGCCACAGGCGTGAGCCAGCCTCTGCCTTTTTCTGTTTTCCGAGTCCTTCTGTTTTTTAATGGCTCCCGATTAGTCTTGGGGTTAAAAACCATCGTTCTTACCACGTGCTGCAAGTCTTCATGGGGTTTTACCTGTCCCTCTCTCTTCTTACCCTTTGGCATCAGTTCATACCAGTCTTCCCCTCTGATCTTGTGCCGTGGTTTTCCCACCTCAGGGTTATTGTACCGGTTCCTTCTTCCTGGACTGTTCCCAGTTTGCCGATGAGCATCTCCTAGAATCTAGGACCTAGATGTTAGCTGAGCATCACCCCAGGCAGGGCTTTTCTGACCCCGGGAACACGGTTGGGTGAGATCCCCTGCCCCACGCCTTCATGCAGGCATTGCCGCTGTCCTTTCTGTTTCCGCGAAATGGGATCTGGGCGCGCTCTGTGGAAGGAGTGTCACCTCCACAACGAGCTTATTCTCGCTCCTGGTTGTGTCTGCAGTTCACACCTCAGGGCTTGGGGAGCTCGGTAAGTGCTTACGAAGTGAGTGCCTCCGGCTGCTCCCTCAGCTCTGAGCAGGCCCGGCCTCAGGGTTCCTGCAGCCTGATGCGAGGCCCCGGAGGGGAACCCGGCGAGCCTGGCCTTTTGGGGATGGTGCCCCAGTTTCACCTGCATTGAACTCAGCGAGGAAAGTTAGACCGCCCTGCTTCATCTTCAGCATCCGCCTGCTTAGGCTGCGCTGTGATAGCAAGGGCCTCACAACAGGTGGCTTTTGGTGAGTTTGCCGTCAGCGCTGTGACCATGGCTTCCCTGTTCATGGTGCAGTTCTCATAGGTGGTGTGTGAGCCCGTGTTCGTACAGCCCAAGATGACGGAGCGTGGTTAGAGTCTGTCCCTGACGGTGGTCGTATTTCCATAATACTTCGTCATTGCTTAGATGTTGCGTTACTTACAAGGTGGATGAGCCCATATCCAAAACAGTGGAGTCTTACACGACAAAGAAATGTTACTATTTCTCAGTGTGGTGGATGTTCATGGAAGATCATGCATGTGAAGTGCTTTAACACAGTACCAGGCACATGCTGTATGCTCGGTCAGGAAACAGCTCCTGTTGCCCTGTCCCTGTTTCATAGGGGTTTTTGGTAATAGATATTAGTAATATTCCAGTTGAGATTATGTATGAGTGTGCTGTAT